GCTGCTGCTGCTGCTGCTGTCAAAGCCACCCTCGAGGCGGAATTCTCACGCTCTGCGCAGGCGCACTCTTCCCCCCTCCTTTGCTTCTCTCGCTCTGGTTTCCCCCCTCTCCCGCCCCTCCCGCGCGCGCGCACGCCTTCCACATTCTGGGAGCTCAGCAGCGATAGAAGGGAAGCGCCGCCCGGCCCTTCGAACGCCCGCGTTGGAGCCGCCCCTCCTTCGGCCTCCTGAGCCAATGGGAAGGCCGCTTCCGCGCTGATCGGCACCCGCTGGAGAGCTTGGAGGAAGTCGGGGATTCGGACGGAGTTGGGAGAACGGCGGGTGCTGCTCTGCTCGCCGCAGGGTCTCCGGGAGGCGGCATGGCCATGGCCCTTCGCCCGAGGGCGGAAGGTGAGGCGACGGGGCGCTCCGGCGGAGGGAAGGGAAGGGAAGGGAAAGGGCAAGGGCAAGGGCGGCCGGCTGGCTGGCTGGGAGCGAGAAGAGGGCCGGGGGAGAAAACAGGAGGAGGAGGAGGAGACGGCGGCGTTGGTGGTGGTGGCAGGAGGGACTCCTGGGCAGGGCGAGGCTGGGCTGGGCTTCTTGCAGGCAGGCCGGGCAGCGAAGCCCTCAGCCTCCCCGGTGCATTCGGGCGACTCCCGCTTTTGCTTGGGTCCCCGTGGCGGCGGCGGCGGCGTGTCTGGCGGATCCGCGGCTGGAAGGGAGGACCGGGCGAGGGGCTAGAAGGCAACCGACGCCGACCGGAGAGGCTCGTCGGAGGAGAAGGTGGGGAAAGGCTGAGAAACCGCGTGGTGCAGAGAGAGGGGGTGGGAGACGGCCGTGTGAATGCTCTCTCTGTTCGCGTGTGTGTGTGCGTGAAAAAGAGGGAGAGGAAAGAGAAGAGAAGGGGTCCAGGTGCCGGGCCGCCGGGACTGAGGGGGGGTAAAAGAAGCCCCCCCACAAGAAGCCCCATAGTTGAACCGACCGTGGATGAAGTTCTGCCGTGGACTTGCTTTGTGAACAGCGCGATAAAACTGTAGCACGGTTCCCGTCTTAAGATTGCAGGGTAACCCCTCCTTTCCGCCACGCGCACGGTTCTGTGGGGCAGCCGGGCGCCAGGCCCTCTGGAAGGAGATGCCCGTGCCCTCGCCCCCTTGGAAGCAAGGCGCCGTGGAGAACCTGCAGCGGGGGAGCTGGCGAAAGCCGGGCTGGGTGGTGGGCGGCTCTGGACGTTGGAGCCCTCTTTCTTGAAGAATGCCCCTAAAAGTGTGAAGGGCAAGACAAAGGGCGAAATCCTGCTGGAATACAGCAACTTGCATAGCTGGGAAGGACAAGTTTGCAATAGTGCGCTGTTGAACAAGGCTTCTGTAAATATCTATCTATCTATCTATCTATCTATCTATCTATCTATCTATCTATCTATCTATCTATCTATCTATCTATCTATCTATCTATCTATCTATCTATCTATCTATCTATCTCCTGCTTTTCTCTTTGAAAAGGTCCCAAAGCAAATTACAACAATGAAATATAACATTTAAAGTTGAAAACAATGAGTATAGCACAGTGGTTAACATTAATTGAAAGACAATACTTACAACTTTTTAAGGCATCCTTCTGTCTCCAGAGACTACAGTAACATGCTCTGTATAGAGGACTTGGAACAGCGTCTAGTGTGGCAGAGAAGGCCAATTCAAGAGTGACAATCCCTTCCGCACTGAAGACAAATACAATTTGTCCCCTGTCCAGCTCCCTGGTTTTGCTGCTTTCAGGACTGCCTCTTTGCCTTGGCCTGCTGGACAAGTGTCTCTTCAAAATGGGAGAGGCCATGAAGCACCGCTTGCCTCCAAGCTGAATGCTCAGATGTCTGAATGGGCTTCGAACCAGTCTGCGGTCTTTTTCATCTTGCCATATGTGGACAAGGTGGTGTTATAAACAGTGTTCTTGAAATGTTCCCATTGTTCAGGTGCATTTGCATCAGCCAGGCCTGGAAGGGTTTTCTCAAGCACTTGGGCAAATTCCTCCACTTTTCTTTGATTGCGAGTCTTGCTGATATATATATGTGGTCTTCCTTCCTTTTTTGTGTGATAACAATCTCTTTGCTCGCAGTTTTACTCTACTACACAACAGGGAGTGATCAGTATCACAATCAGCACTCTGGTAACTGTGTGTGATCGTAGTACTAGGAAGGCTAGAATGTCAAGCTGATGCCAATGCTTGGAACTTGGATGTCTCCAGGAAACTCTGCGTTGAAGCTTCATATTAAAGAACATACTGCTGACACAGAGACCATAATAACAGCAAAACGCCAGCAAGCATTGGCCATTTTTGTTCATCTTCCCAATGCCAAAACGGCCTAGACAAGTGGATCAAGAACTGTGATCAGCATTAAAGTCTCTGGTTCTCTGGGATTTTTTTGATAGTAGTTGCCAGTTCATCGTGGAATTTGTCTTAGACTTCTGTTGTGGACGACAGTATTGGTGCGCATATACACTAATAAGGGTGACCGGTCCCGCTGATGAATGCAGCTGGAGAGACAGGATTCTTTCACTCCCCACAGTAAGGGGAACAATGGATCTCAGCAGAGTATTTCTGGCCACAAAGCCAACACCATGTTCCCTGGTCTCATTCAATGGTTTTCCCTGTCTGAAGAATGAGAAGTTTTTTTCTTTGACAGATCCCATGTCTGGCAATCTCGTCTCTTGCAGGGCAACAACGTCCATCTGCAGTCTGCTCCGTTCCATGTCAATGACAGCTGTCCTGCGCACGTCGTCTATTTCCTGCAGATTGTCAGAAAAGACAGGGGTCATTGATTTTAAACTATCCTTAGTTTCTATCCACCCTGGGTGTGGGAAGCTTTCTCACTTGTGAGGCTGCATGTGCCCGTCCTTGAACCATGGAGTGCTGGTTCTCCATTCTACTGATTCCCAAAATATTTTCTTTTTAAAGATATTTTTCTAACTGAAAAAAAAATACTTTAGCCTCATAGAACTGCACAGCTAAAAAGGATCCCAGGGTTCATTGAATTCAGCTTCCTGTCAGATGGGAAATCAACAGCTAAAGCATCCATGCCATGATCATTTTAATATTTAATTGAGATCTCTTGACTTATCATTTGAATCCATTACTTCAGTTCCTTCCCTCTGGAGCTAAGCGAAACAATTTATATATATATTTGATCTGTTTTGAAAGAATGTTTTTCTCTCTTTTTTGTGCATCTCTTTGGGAGCTTTCGTAGACAGAAAAGCAAGAAATAAATACTTTTGGCAGGGTGGATAAAAATCAGTGATGTAAAAAACATTTAAATTGACTTAAATTATAATTTAAATTAAATGTTTTTTAAATGTACATTGTCAAAAATCAGTTTTTTAAAAAATTTTAAGTTGTGATTCGAATCCTTTACTTCAATTCTACCCCACATTGAGCGATAGGTAAATCATATTTATGTGTTACCTTTTTTCCTTTCAAGATGCATCATTTATGCTGCATTGTCAAAGTAATTGTTAAATACATTTGCTGTCTTTTAGCTGAAAAATATATCTGTGTCTGTGAGAGAGGGAATCTTGATAGGCAGAAACTTTTCTCGTCTGGCTTTTCTTGGAAGCTCCACGTGCTTTGTAGAGCAACAGTAGCATGTTGCTTGTGTTTTTCTGGCCCAAACCGCTTACCTTCAAGCAGTAACTTATTCATGAGCTGAAGCACATGGCTGTGGCTGATGGGGTTATGTGTCCTATGGCTTGTGCTACTCTGAGCAAGCACCATGGTCCAAGAAAGCAGCACCAGAAGGAAGGTGGTAAAGTGCTTTGGGAGAATCACTATAAATTGGTATTAACTTGATGTCATGTAATAACTGTGCAGAGACATTCAAGCAGCTTAATAGAGATGCTTATGTGCTGTTTGCATAGAAGGATCAGGAATAATATTTGTATATCTCATGTTTTTTTATTGTCATTCAATGATATTTTATGATTTTTGTAAGCCACAGTAGATGCTGTCTGGGGGGGCAGGGTATAAATCAAATGAATGAATGAATAAATAAATGAATGAATAAATAAATAAAACATTTTGAAGAAAAAAATTTGTCATCATCATAGAAAAATAAGGTGACCCATGTTGGGTTTCAATTCCTGCCATTCTTGTACTATTACAGCACTCACAATAAGTAAAGAAAAACCAATTTATTAAATCCTGAAGAATGTTTTTGCAGACTAGTTTTCCTGCATTTTTTGCTTTTTTACAGGTCAAAGTTCTGCTAAGTATTTTGCTTTTAACTGCAAGACGGCATACTTTGTTGAATCTCATTTAGTTAGTTTCATTTATGTTGCAAAACATTGAAAGTGTGAAGGAGGTGAAACAATGTCTGCTGGAAAGCTATCTCACTGACCAAAGACATGGAAGTGGAGATTGACGGGATGTGGGAAGCTAGCTGAACGAATTTCTGAAAGCCCATAGTTGCTCACTCTAGACTCTAGAGGATGTCATCCACTGACTTCAAATGGAGTGGCCATCTTTCCTCCTTAGTTTTGCCCTGGTAGTGCCGAGAGCCTTCAGTCCCCTGCCCAAAGCTTATTACTGTGGATCAGTTTGGGGCCGTTGTGCTTGCTGGGCCAGGTTCGGAACAGAGGCACCATGCAAACTTTCCATTAGCCTGCTTTTTTGCTCCATCTGGGGAGAAGGCATGGTGATGTCACTCTGATTTTCCAGCTGTCCACAGGATGAATAATAATGTCTTCAATTTATGGGTGACATGGGGTGTTTTTGCCATTGGGCAATGGAGTGGTGGTGTAGCTGTCAGGAATGCAATGGGTGGGTATGTCTTATTTTTATGTATATTTTGCTTTCTGTGTTGCCACCAGGGGTTCTTAGGACTGCAGTTAGATTAGGGGGTAGGGAAAAAAAGAACCCATTAACTGATTTTTTAAAAAATGAATTTCCTCTGTTTGTGGTCAGTGGGAAAATTAATGAAAATTAATGCACAGGCACCTTTCCATTCCTATTGTCAGGTGGAAAACACAAACATCTAATCTGTTATTTGTATACAAGTGAAAAGGTTTTATTGGAAAAGGAAGGAAAGAAAGAAAGAAAAGAAAGAAAAAGAAAGAAAGAAAGAAAGAAAGAAAGAAAGAAAGAAAGAAAGAAAGAAAGAAAAGGTGCCCACACACATTTTAGGGAATGATAGGCAACATCTTTAAAAATAGTGTACTTTAAGAAATTAAACTTTAAAAAGTGAACATTAGGAACAAGTGTATAAAATACATGATGCAAGAAAAAACCCACTAAGTTCTGCAGACCAATAAGAAACAAAAAGCAGGAAAGTACTGCAGGTATTTATCTATCAAATGAAATAGATAGCTCTTTTTCTATTTACCTTGGTTTACAAACGCCTCAGTTAATGTAATTTTAAGTTTACGAAT